GGAGACGAGTGATGGGGGCAGGCGAGTGGTGGGTCGTGGATGGGTCGCGGGTGGGTCACGGGGTAGGTCTCGGGTGGGTCGCGGGCGTGTCGCGGGTTGGGTCGCGGGTTGGTCGCGGGGGAGCCGTGGGCGAGGGCGACGACAGCAACGCCGCAACAACAACCACAACAACAACAACCGCCATTTTAAGACTGTTCGCTCGTCTTATCTGCTCTAGTGCCATTTCAATACGTATATCCCAAGCCCTCGGTACCCGCCCTCTTCGTCTTCGATCGTACCCCCTTGGGGGTATATCTTCCCTACCTGCAGCGCGTATTTCGTGTTGCCCCTGATGCGGGGAAAGAGAGGACGGAGGGAAGGAAGGGACAAGAGGGAAGTAGGAGGATGGAACACAAGAGAGAATAGCAGAAAGGGGGCGAAGAGCAGACCGGGAGGATAGACCCTAACGGGCGGGTCGGGAAGGTGGGCGCAGGCGGCCAGGTCGAGCAGGCGGGTTGCTGAACCGTGCGCCCTGCATGAATCGCGAGAAGATCCACCGATAACGCGATTCCTAAATAAATCGCGAGGGGATCCACAGCAAAAGCGTCATTACTCAATGTCGAGGGCGCGGCGTCTTAATAAATTACAAGGACGTCACACGCGAGAGCGCGATTCCTGCATAAATCGTGAGGACGTCCCGCGCGAGAGCGCGACTTGGGAATACAATGTGGCGAAGTATCAGGCGGGAGCCGCTGTTGTTGTAAACCGGGGGCCGCCGTGGGCTGGGGCCTCTGCTGGCTGGGCTCTGTGGGCTGGGGCCCCTGTGGGCGGCGTGGGGGGGCCTCAATGGGCAGCGCGCTGGGGCCTCCGTGGGCGCGCTTGGGCCTTCTTGGGCTGGAGCATCTGCGGGCGGCGTCGGCTCGGGGCCTCCGTGGGCGCGCTTAGGGCCTCTGTGGGCGCTGGGGGGCCTCTGTGGGATGTGTTGGGGGGCCTCAGTGGGCAGCGCGCGGGGGCCTCAGTGGGCACGCTGGGGGCCTCTGTGGGCTGGGGCCTCTGTGGGCGCGCTCGGGGCATCAGTGGGCTGCGTCGGAGGGCCTCAACGGGCAGCGCGCGGGGACCTCAGTGGGCGCGCTTGAAGTCATTGTGGGCTGCGTCGAGGGGCCTCAATGGGCAGAGCGCTCTGGGGCCTCCGTGGGCGCGCTCGGGGCCTCTGTGGGCTGGAACCCTCTGCGGGCGGTGGGCCTCTGTGGGCGCGCTTGGGGCCTCTGTGGGCTGAGGCCTCTGAGGAAGCGCTTGGGGCCTCTGCGGGCTGTGCTGGGGGCCTCGGTGGGCTGGGGCCTCTTCTTCTGCGTCGGGAGGCCTCAATGGGCGGCGCGCTGGGGCCTCCGTGGGCGCGCTTACGGCCTCTGTGGGCTAGGGCCTCTGTGGGCTGTGTCGGGGGCCTCAGTTGGCAGCGCGCTGGGGCCTCTGTGTGCGCGCTTGGGGCCTCTGTGGGCTGGGGGCTTTGCGGGCAGCGCGCGGGGGCCTCCGTGGGCGCGCTTGGGCGCCTCTGTGGGCTGTGGCCTCCGTGAGCGCGTTTGGGGGCTCTATGGGCTGGGACCTGTGGGCGCGCTTGGGGCCTCAGTGGGCTGCGGCGGGGGGCTTCAGTGGGCAGCGCGCTGCGGCCTCTATGGGCACGCTTGGGAGCTCTGTGGGCTGGGGCCTCTGTGGCCTGTGTCGGGGGCCTCAGTGGGCAGCGCGCTGGGGCCTCTGTGAGCGTGCTTGCTTGGGGCCTCCGTGGGCACGTGCGGGAGCCTCAGTGGGCAGCGCTCTGGGGCCTCTGTGGGCTGTGCCATAAAGCCCGCGGGCAGCTTGCTACGGCCTCTGTGGGCTCACTCTGGGCCTCTGTGGACTGTGTTGGGGGCCTCAGTGGGCAGCGCGCCGGGGCCTCTGTGGGCAGCGCGCTGAGGCCTTCTGTCGGCTGGAACATGTGGGCGCGCTTGGGGCCTCTGTGGGCAGCGCGCTGAGGCCTTCTGTCGGCTGGAACATGTGGGCGCGCTTGGGGCCTCTGCGGGCTGTGTCCGAGGGCCTCAGTGGGCAGCGTGCTGGAGCCTGTGTGGGCGCGCTTGGGGCCTCTGCGGGCTGTGTCCGAGGGCATCAGTGGGCAGCGTGCTGGGGCCCCTGTTGGCGCGCTTGGAGCTGTTGTGGGCTGTATCCGAAAGCCTAAATGAGCAGCGTGCTGGGGCCTCTGTGGTTCGGGGACCTTTCTGGCAATGGCGTATAGGAGTACATTGCGAGGGCGTGTCGAGCGGGAGCCCCTGTCGTCGCAGGTGAGCCTCCGGCGCTGCTACTGAATTTCAGTCGCTAGCCACGGGGTCTCGAAGTACAGCTTGAGGAAGTATCGAACGGGAGCCCTTGTCGTCGCGGCTGGGCCTCCACCAACTTGACAGAATGAGGGCGTCTCGAGCGAGAGCGCCACTCTTGAATTCGGGGGCCTCTCTGGCAGGGGCCTCTGCGAATTCGCCCTTGTCGTCGTGGCTGGGCCTCCGCCAACTCGACTGAATCACGAGGGAGTCTCCAGCGAGAGCGCCGCTCCTGAGTTCGGGGGGCCTCTCTGGCCAGGGCGCCTCGCTGTAAATGGTGAGGAAGTGTCGAGCGGGAGCCGTTGTCATTGTAGCCGGCCTCCAGGGGCACACATTTACGCGCCGGCTTGAGTGCCCACGTCGTCTTCGTTCGCACCCCCTGTGGGGGGGGGACATCTTCCTCGTCGGCCACCGACCGAAGTGCGAGGTACACGAGCGAGAGCGCCGTTCCTGAGCTCGGGGGCCTCTCTGGCCAGGGTGTCTCGTGGCAAATGGTGCGGAAGTATCGATCGGGAGCCCGAGTCCTCGTGGATGGGCCTCCACCAACTCGACTGAATCACGAGGGAGTCTCCAGCGAGAGCGCCGTTCATGAGTTCGGGGGCCTCTCTGGCCAGGATGTCTCGGGGTAAATGGTGAGAAAGTATCGAGCGGGAGCCGTTGTCGTCGTAGCCTCCAAAGGTACACATTTACAATCAAGCCCGCGCTCGAGCGGGAGCCTCGTTTTCAGAGGAATTGCAGCCGACGTCGAGACGAGAGCGCGCGGAATTTGTTCTGGAGATCAACGAGAAGCATTCTCTAGAAATGAATATTCAACATCCATCCTGGCCACGAAATCCCACTCCAGCCACGCACCCAGGGACAATTCATGACGACACCGTCAATCGAATTGTTCGCGCTGACGCCCGCGACTGGCTCCGCCCCCCCTCCCCTCCCCTACCTGGGTCACGCCACGATTCGCGCCGGCGCCATCTGCGAAGAAGCCGTCCCTGGGCATTCCAAGACGGCCCGGGCGCAAATCGTGGCGTGACCAGCCCCCTCACCCCTCCCAAGCCCACCCCCCCAGTCACGCCCGTTATCGCCAAGCGACAAAAAAACAGTCTCCTGGTCCCCCGCCAGCATGCCCACGATCTCGATCACCGGCGGGGTGCTGTCGGGTGTGTGGACCTCCACGACGTTGCTCAGGGCCCCGTGGCCTGAGTCGGGGAGGGTGACTGCTGGACCCTGGAGTGCTGAAGGAGGCGGGGGAGGAGGAGGAGGAGGAGGAGGAGGACGAGGAGGAGGAGGAGGAGGAGGAGGAGGAGGAGGAGGAGGAGTAAGAAGAAGGAGGACGAAAGAGGAGAAGGAGGAGGATAATGAGGAGGAGGCGCAGCGCACAGCGTCGGAATACGAAAGAGGACGAGCAGGGAAGGGAGAAGGACGAGGAGCAGAAGGTAGACGAGGAGCACGAAAAAACCCGAAGAGGAGAAGAAGGGGTGGAGGAGAAGGATAAGGAGGAGGAGGAGGAGAAGGAAGAGGAGGAGCGTGGCCCGAGGAGGATAGGGGAGCCAGTCGAGGGACGGGGATCTGCCGGAGGACAAGGAGGAGAGGGAAAAGGGAGAAGGAAAGCACACACCTCAGTGATCACACGCCCTGTCGCTGGGAGCACTGGCATCGGCCTAAATGTGGCTCGAGGCGTGCGAAAAGCATTGCGCGCTGAACCGCGCGCTGAGTACAGACGGAGCGCTGCTAGAAATTTGAAAGTGGGTGCTTTCGTTCATACCTAGTTGCGCCCATGTTCAGTTCCCCCACCTCTCCCCTCCTCTTCCTCCTCCTCCTCCTCCTCCTCCTCCTCCTCCTCCTCCTCCTCCTCCTCCCCCTACTCATCCTCCTTCGCCTCCCCCCTTTCCTCCATCTCTGCGTCCTTCCTCATTCCCTCCCCTGTCTTCCCTCACTCCATCCACCTCTCGCTCCCTCCTTCCTCAAACTTTCAGTGTAAGCAAATCGTCCTCATCATGCCACCAGAGTGTCGACATAATGGTCAGGGCGTTTCGGTTGAGACCTCTCACGTTTCAACTGCATGCATAACGAAACGCCCAACCGCTTCATGAATAAAAGGCTTAGGATGTTCAGTGTCTGGTTGTCGTGTGATACGTCGTTACATTGCATGCCCCTACAGACTTCAACGCTCGAACATATACACGCATGGAGAACGGGCGGTTTTCAACATCAAGTGTCCCCGGATGCCCCATTCCATTCCAGAGCCCTGAGGCTTGGAACTGCAAGCAACTACACGGATGAGTGGCGGCTCGCGTTCAAAATGTAGCCCTGGCCTGGCATTTCATCGCGCCCCATGGTCCGAAATCTTGCTCCGAACCGCAACGTCCGTTGACGCCGAAAATAGATCGCTCCGAACAAAAATCGTTTCTACCTGAAAGGCGCGGCCCCCCCTGGGGTCGCGGAGACGGGCGACACCACTTTGGATTCAGGCAATTGTTCATAACGACCCCGCGCTGCAAGCGCCGTGGCATCCATGGATGGTTCTCAACAAAAACCGGCCAATGGCCAGATAGTGCGCCAAGAACCTCCACAGAAGTCACACGACACAAAACATTTGGTGCGCGGGGGAGGAGAGCGGGAGTTTGAAGCCAAGGCGTAGCCGCGATAATGGAATCGTGGCCACACGAAGCGACGGTCGGACACACTCGAAGCCACTCAATTGCAGGAAATCGAGTCAAAGACAATTCGTTCCTACCTTAAGCGCGTGGCCCAAGGGTCGCGGAGACGGGCGACGGTACTTGGGATGCAGGCACATGTTTAACAACGACCCCGAGCTGCAAGCGCCGTGGCACCCACGGATGGTTCTCAACAAAAGACGGCGCATGGCCAGATAACGCATTCAAAACCTGCAAAAAAATCACACAACACAAACTCGTGCCCCCAATATACAAATGCCCTAGGGAGGCGGGCGGGGAAGAACAACCATGCAGCGACGGGGCCGAGCGTAACTGAACAGCACTGGCGCGATGAAGACTACGCGCACACACGACGAAGGAGATAACGAGCAAGGCTTCCGGTGAAAAGGCGGGCATGCTCGATCTGCTCGGAGAAGAGCTTTGAGCGCTGGCGCAATGCAGAGCCGTGCTTCTCATAGATTCGAACGCTCTCCTTCGCTCGCCAGCGGCCTCCTCTGCTGGATGGCCTCGATGGTCCGCGCGCCGTTCAATGCGTCGCGCGAGGGCCCTCCGCGGCGCAGTTGGCGAGGCGCGGACAGAAGGTCGCCCGCGCCTGCCAAGGCGGCCGCCGATTTCAGCATCTTCTCCTACTGGAGTAAAGAGACAGGGTGAGAAAGGAAGGGCGGAGAGAGACGACGAGCACGGTTCCTCAACCTTAGCAAAATCTCGGGGGCGAGCCTGCGGAGCGGCAGCGCTGCCCCCGCCTTCGCAGCACAGTCGTAATTTCCGTTCAAAGCAGGTTTCCCTCCACCCGAAGGCGCAACTACAACCGTGATATCTGCTGCGGCTCCTGAAGCGCGGGAGCCAAACGCATGTTCAGGCTTCATGGCTAGCAACTCACCAGGCCGAAAATACATGTCAAACTGGCGTAGAATGCCTAACGCCACCAGAAAATCGGCGCTGGCCCCGTCGGCAAGCGCCAAGCATTGAGCTGCGCTGCTTCAAAAGGAGGCGGGCCACGAAGGGGCGGCGGCAGCTTGGAGGACCAGCCCGCGAGAGCGCCGTTGGCCTACAGAAAGTTGGGCCTTGCTGCCGCCCAGCCCCGCTCATTGCAAAGACCGCAGAGCGCCATCCCTCCCACGCGCTGCGGCTCACCCGCGAAGAACAGATCTTCGAAGTAAAGGTTGAGAGTCTCGTGGGACGATTCGGGCGCGTCGAGCAACAGCTGTCGCTCGGCATACTCGGCGAGCTCGACGACAGCGGGGCGGCAGCTGGACACGCTCGCCAGGCGCAGGTAGCTTGACGAGCGCGGCAGGCCGCAGGCTCGCCAGGCGCAGGTAATCGCCCGGCGCCGCGTCGCGCCGGCCGCGGAGGCCTGGCCCCCGCGGGCAGCCGCCTCCGCCCGCCGCCGTCGGTCCACAACGGCCAGAGGGCGAGGCGCGGGCACCCGAGCCTGCCCTGCGCCGCGGCCGGCGCGGGCACACCTCGCAGCAGCGGGCGCGTCTGCAGCGTCACTCGCGCCGGCCGCCCGCGGTCGCCAGCTCGACGAGCGTCGCGCCTGTGCAGCAGCACGGCCGGCGCCCGCGGCAGCAGCAAGGGCAGCCCGCCCCGGGGCCCGAAGCCGATCCAGCGGCGCCGCGCAGCCGCTTGGCCTCCAGGGCGAACTGGCGGCGCGTCATCGGCCCCTCGGGCGCGGGTCGAGCGCCGCGGGCCATCCTGGCCGCCAGGGGGGCCGAAGGCGCTGTGGGCAGGCGCCGAGACGGCTCTGGGCTCTGCAACTCCTGCCGGGCTCGCCAGCGCGTGGGCCCTGACCTGGAGGTCATCCCGAGTCGCGCGGCCAAAAGCGCCCCGCGGGGCGTCGGGGCCTGCGAGCGCGGCGAACAGCGGGCACAGACTCGGCAAGCAAGAGCCCGCCAGCGTGGTCCGCCACGTCCAGCCGCGCGCAGGGTGCCCAGTGGCTCGACTCAGCGCCGATGTCCGCGCAGCAACAACGAGTCCTCCGAGCCCCGGGAGGCTACCAGCGATCGCACCAAGCTTTTCGAACGGCGCGCCCAAATAGCAGGAGTCAAATCACACCCTCGGCCAAGCAATGCGCTCCAGCGCCGGCCAGCGCCACGCTCGGCTGGCGGGAGGGTTCTCGAACGACACGTAGACGCACAGCGAACGACACAGCCAGATGACGCGCACGGACAAGGCCACCAATGTCTTGTCCGCTGGCAGAGGCCCTCGACCCCCGCCGACGGGGGCCCGCCGCGTGAAGGGCAGACCCAGATGGACCCACCAGAGCTCGCCAGACTTGAGCCAGTGCAGCACCGGAAGCTGAACTCCGCGGTTTGCGAGGTCACAGCGGGGCCCGAACTTGTAGCCCATAGGAGCCATAACCCGAGAGCCACGCTCGTGGAGCGCCCCAGTAAGGTGAGAAGCCCCCGCAAAAAGAACTCCAAGAGCGCTTGCGAGGCGGTCGAAACCCTGAAGGCCCTGAGACACTCCCGCGGCCCTCAAAGGGGCCATGATGATGCCCAAGAACCCCGCGTGGTACAGGACCTTCTGCGGGCCCTCCATGTAGACCGCCACTCTGCCCCAGACGCCCGAGGGGGCACTGTCGAGGACCCACAGGTGGTTGAAGAACTTTACCAAGAAGGCCTCTGGGATCTCCTGAAAGTGCATAGCCTCCAAGGCCCCCTTGAACCCCGTCGCATCGGCAACATCTGGGTAGCCCGTTATCGCGTGCTCTGCGATGCCCACCATGTAGCTCGTCGTCGACCCGAGCCTGAATATCTCGAACTGGCTGACTCCGATCTCTCCCACACTCAGGCAATGAGAGGGACGTGGGATGATGGAAAGAAGAAGCTGAAGATGCATGGGTAGACAGACACTCGTAACTTTCTGGCCGCACATGGTCGGCCACATTCCCTTCAATATAAAACTCTGTTCGGGCGTCGGGTCGGGCCACCAGCTCGCGGCGGCTGCGCTGGGTCGGCGCCATGAAAGCCCCTCGCCCTCGATAGCGGCCTGCGCGCAGCTCACCTCGGTCCGCAGCTCGGCTCCCGCGATCCGCGACGTTGTAGATGTCAGGGACGTACCCCGGGGCGCCAGCGAATCTCGCGCCCGAGGCGCACCGCCGCAGCGCGTCTGCACTGCGCCGGCAACTCAGAGTTGGTGGCGACACCCATCTCAAAGGCGAGGGCCGACGACAGGTTGCCACATAGGCTTAGAATCTCCTTGCCGTGGAAGGCCACGTCGGCGGCGGCCCTCCAATGCGGCGCGAACGCGGCGCGGGCCTCAAGGGCGGGGATCCGCCCCGGGCGCCACCAGGCACCCCCCCGCCGCTCGGCCCAGCGGCCAGGGTCCAGCAGCGCGTCCGCCAGCGGCTCGGGCGGCACCCCGATTTCCAGCCCCACTCGCCGCCGCTTCGCCACGGCGCGGCGCGGCTTCGGCGGGGCCCGCAGCGGCAGCGGCTCCGACGGGTCGGTGAAGCCAGCGGCCCGGCCCGTAGAGCTCGTCGCCGGGTGCAACCTCGGCCTCCGCGGCGACGAAGCGCTGCCGCTCACGCCACCGGGTGGTCGCCAGCACCTCCCAAGGCCCCAGCCTCGCCTCGCGCGCCGCGTGGCCCCGTGGCGAGCTGTCGGTGGTGAAGGCGACGTCAGACGGCACGCAGCAGGGGTCGACCGCCCCCAAGAGGACGAGGCCCGCTGCCGCAGCGAGCTCCCCAAGCACATCTGGAGGCAGTCGGGCTACAGGCGCCAGCTCGCCGTCGCCGATGAAAGCGCGGCAGGCACCGAGCACGCTGAGCCCCAGCCGCAGGGCCGAGAAGCACGGCTCGACCATGTCCTCCTCCTCAGGAATGGCGGCGACGGGCCGCGCCACGTCCGAGTCGAAGCGGTCGAGCACCTCAGCGACGTGCCTCGGGGCGATACGTCGAAGCTGCTGAGGCCGATCCTCGGGACTTCGTCTGGGAACATTGAGCTTCTCAGCATGATTATCGCGACGAGTAGAAATCTCGCCCATGTTAGAGCGCAGATCCCTGTACTTCCAGAGCTCCTGCAGGGCTCCAGTTGAGTCCTTCGGGCGCTCGCCGAAGCCGCGGACGCGACGTCGGACCCACTTCATGACCGACTCCTGAGCGGTCGACGGCCTCTGCTCGCAGGCCGCTCGAGGGTCGAGACGCCCCCCGGCCCGCGCGGCCACCAGAGCACTGAGCGCTCCCGCGGCCTCGAGGGACCGACGATCGCGATCATTAGCGCGAGCAGCACGCGGGGCCAGATACTGAGGCAAACTGGCACGTTCTCCTCGACGAGGCTGACGAAATAATCCATCGCCTTGAGGAAGAGGAAACAAAACTGTGAACTGAGCCCGACCCTCGGAGGAGACCCCCTCGGAGGGCTGCCCAGCTAGACGCGCATCCGCGGCTGCGCTGGTCGAACGGGGCGAGGGGGGGGCCGGGCAGGGCGCCGGGCCACATCGGCGCCGCCGTGGCGCCGTCGAGCCTGATCCTTCCCAGACCCCTGGCCATTCGGCTTCGCCTTGGCCTTCGGGCCCAGCTTCGGGGGCCTCCGATCGTCGCCCAAGCTGTCGTACTTTTTCGCATCCGATTCCTGCTCCTCGCGGCACAGCCGCCCCTGCTTGAGAATGACCCCCTGGGCACGCTGCTCCTCGGCCACGAAGGCATCGAACTTCGAGGTCACCACCCTGCCGCTCTCGTCCAAGGAGCTGCGCAACATCAGGTCCAGGCCCTCGAGGCTCAGGTGACGGGGGCACCGCTTCACCGCGCGCTGAATCTGAAGCACACGGCGCCCCACCAACTCGAACGAAGCCAGCTTCGATGTGTCCGAAAGGTCGAAGGTCACGGCATGGCGCAGCACATTCAGGAGGTGCCGCATCTCCTGCGAGACGCCCGCGTTCCGCGAGACACCCAACTCCGAGACCCAGAACCCCCAGTACGACGTGAGCGTGAGCCCGATCGCCACCACCGCAAACGGCAGCTCGGGGAGGGCCTTCGGCCCGTGGGAAGTCCAGTCGGAGATCTCGAGTGAGCTCTTCCTGCCTAGCGCGTCCGAGAGCATGGCCTGATGGCCTGGCCCGCGTCGCGAGAGCGGCGAGATGCGAGGATCCCGTCCCGGCCCCCGCCCCTTCTCTGCGCGCCAGTCCTCCTCGTCGGCCTCCTGGACGTTCTCCACCAAGACACATCCCTCCTCCTCGCTGACCATCGCAATGCCGACGGCGTCGCGATACACCAACCGCTCTGGATTGCCCGACATCTGTAGGTCGAGCTCTTTGCCGAAGTCGGGAGAGCCTGGGTCCGAGACGATCCACCGCGGCGCGGTAGCCCCGGGCGGAGCCGCGGGGGCGCTCACGCCCATCACGATGGCGAGCCCACGCGCGTCCACCCAGAGCGCCTCGATGTCCTCGTCGCTCTAGCCCCCGGAAGCATACACCTGGCCACGCACCTTGGCATGGAAGGCCGACGCGCGGCGCAGCGCGACGACCAGGTGCTCGCTGAGGTCGAGCACGAGCACCCCCCCAATCGGGACTTGCGGCCGCCCAGACGCCCAGGCCCAGCTGCACCAACAGGAGTCGGTGGTGCCACCTGAAGTGGTCGTCGTCGTCGAAGTTCACGCATACCTGCAACTTCGGCATGTCGGACGTGCGCTGGGCCATCTGGCCCCTGAGCTAGTTCAAGCCCGAACTGCCAGAAAGCGAGCCCGCGCCCCGCCGTCGGTCGCCTCCGAATCGTCGACCACCAGCGTGACGGTCGAGCTGCCCTCGGCGCGGGCGGTGACGAGCCCCGCCGCTCGCGCGGCGAACCAGACAGCAGCCCGCAGCAGCCCGACGCCACCGAAGCCGAGCAGCAGGCCGGCGGCCAGGGCGGCGCCCACCCCCCACCAGCCCGGGCCCGCACCGCAGGCCAGGCTGCAGGTCGGGCAGTCAAGACAGCCAGGGCAGGACCCGCAAGTGACCGCCGGCGACGGCGGGCACGCGGGGCAGCTCCCGCACGTGACCCGCGCCTCTGGGCAAGCGGGGCACTGCGTGAGCCAAGCGATCGCGACCGAGGCAGCCCACGGACCGGACGCCGGCCACAGGGCGCCCATCCGCCGCGGGGCCCCCAGGATAGAGCTTGAAGCCAAGACGTCACCGCGAGGATGAGATCGTGGCAAGAGGAAGCGACGATCGGACACATTCGAGGCCACTCGGTGGCAGGAAAACGAGTCAGAGACAATTCATGCTCTCGTTTGGGCGCCACGCGCATTGGGGCCTAAGCTTCTACCAGCTGCATGGACGGCAGGCAAGCCCTTCTCAAACTCATTGCGACTTGTAAGGGCTTCCTGAGGACTCACGACCATGCCCGCCACCGTGCCTTCAGCACGCAATGGAGTGCCGCAAGTCTTAACCCGCTGAGAGAGACAACTGCCGGAATCTGACAGACCAAGACCACCAGCTTGCCAGAGTTCCCGGTTGCTCCTGGGCGCTTCCGGCGTTAGCCACGCAGGCCTCCCGGAAGCCAAACCCGCCCGAACCGACTCCCACGCCCCCCGAGGCCCCTCCAAGAAACGCTCTTGCGATATTCTCGCGCGGCGTCGGCGCACGCAAAGGCTTCTGACAACGCTGGAGACACCAAAAGGTACCCATACCGGTACTCCCCAGACCTCTCCCAGGGTGAGTTCTGACCAGGATTTCGAAGCGAATCCAGCGGTGGCGACGAGGGCCGCCCAGGAGGCCCAGAAAGGGGAAATCCAAGCAAGGGTAGAGGTCCGAGTGCCCGTTCCTCCTCTGACGTTCCACCTTGAATCGTTCGTGGCCCCGATCGTTGAAGGCCGAATGCAGTCGGGTCCGTTGGCGTTACCGCGCCAACTATCAGGGGGACGTAAGACCTGGGTACAGGGGACTCGGAACTCCCCGACGAGGTCGTCAAAAAAATGACGAGGCCGAGCCTGCATTTTGACGAGGCCTCCCGCTGCAGACATCCCACGAAACTCCTCCTCGTCAAAATCCGAGGCGCGGTCGTCAAAAAACGATGGCGAACCCGAGTCCTGGCAAACCCGGGTCTTACGCTCCCCCGAAACTAGTGCGTCTGCGCCGGCGTCGCCAGCGCGCCAGCGCCGCAGGAGCCTACCGCAAAGGCCACCCTGGGCAGCCCCGAGGGATCGTTCACGAACGCCCCAAGGGGTCGTCGTCGTCGTCGTCGTCGTCGTCGTCGTCGTCGTCGTCGTCGTCGTCGTCGTCGTCGAGGTCGTCGACGTCATCGTCGTCGTCGACGTAATCGGGTCGGGCCCTCCTGGGCCGTCTGGGAAACCCTGGGGGCCAGCCCGGGAGGCCAAAACCATGGCAAATGACAAGGTTGCTGCAGCTACAGTCGGCCCGTATCACAAGGGCGCATGATAAGGACGCTGGACCCTTGGCAGCCCATCTCGAAGCTCTTCGAGCGGGGCGCGGCCAGCGGAAGTGGCAAATGATCAGGGAAACGGAAAAAAACATAAACATAAAAACTCAGAGGTCCGCGCGGATTTCTTTGGATCCGCACTGGACCCCC